TAGAGAACGAGTTGGTGGTAGACCTCATACATTAGAATGAATTATTATAAATGGTTCAAAACTCTTATTCATACTTGTTGGAAATGAAACTCAATGACTTTTAGCTAGTTCACAAACATCATACTTAAAATCCATAACATGTATTTGAAAAAACAACTTTAAAAATAATTTTTCTTTAAATATCCAATAGATGCATGAACATCTATGCCATAATCAAATGTCAAAAGTTTGAAGTTTATTTGGCACTTTCACTATAAACACTTGAGCTAACTGATTGGAGCTCGTTGAGTCGAGTCAAGATAATAGAGCTTTCCCTTCTAATACCATAATTAATTGTCTTTCATGTCTAAACATTATTGAAAACACACAGATTAAGCTAAAAAAATCACAATATGGTATAAAACATAGGTTATTTGAGCAAAAGACAACAAGTTATAATTGAGGGTAGGAATAATAAGAACGGAATCCAAGTTTAAATTTATTGCGAGGCTAATTGAACCTTCTCTAATTACTTTTACAGAATTTTTGTTTGCTATGGATATTATATTAGATAAGATTTTTATAGCTTTAATATGGTTAATGTCGGAGATCATGTGATCGGTAACACCGAATCAATTATCCATGCACTTATTACTAGTAGGCGTAGAGGCATGAAGAACCTTACTAATGTTAGATGATTCGAGCAATGACAATAAGGCTTGGTGAAGTGATCCCTCGGGATTTTTATTGAATGGTTTGGCAATAATAACAAAGGCATAGTGATTCAATTTTGAATATTGTTTGTGAGATGCCTTGATAGGATCCCACCACTCGGATGCCCAATCAACTCATAACACCAAGACTTAGTATGTCCAGTTTCTCCATAATTAATACATAAATGACTAATTTTGATAATTGATATGATTTAGTAAGCTAAAAAATTGATTTGATTTCAAATTCATAGACTTAGTTCGTCGGACAATCATTACAAAGGATTCGGAGTGATTAGATTCACCATTAAATGGCTCTTCAAATGGAATCACAATATACATATGCATAAATTTATTCAATTTTTAGTTACAAATCCTTTTTGAGAACTTCTTCTCAAATTAGTTCAAATTTCATGTCTAGACTAAGCGGAAAGATATACACAAGTAATCATTTAGCTAATTTTTTTATATATGATAACATCATTCATATCTTTCATTATAATCTTATCACGATGATCTACTTCTTGGAAAGTCTCAATAAGATCACCATAATAGATAGATAGAAGATGACCAACCTATTTGGTAGAGAATATGCATTGATTTAGAATAAAGAGTTGATATTCATCAAACACATTACGTAAAGCTACGGTAAGATTTTCCTAGGTTGTAAATGTAGTACACAATGGAATATATGGCTTCATAATCTCCGGTGACATAGAAGTCAACAACCATTCTTTAACCTTATGATTTTCATCATTCCACCTTGCATAGGAAGCATTAGTATCTTTTAAAGGATCTGTTTTACCCATAATATACTCCAACTTATCACGACCATTAATTTACATCTCCATAATCTAGGACCATACATCATAATTGGTTTCGATAAGAATAACATTAGTTATAAAGCTATGATTTTTTAAATTGAATATGTATAATTGGTATAAAGGTTGATTCAAGAATGATTTTGATGATGGTGAAGGGATTCAAATGGCTCGATACCAAGATAAGAAATAGAGTATAATAAAGTATATAGAAAGACTTTCAAGGTTATTTTTATCTTTTCTCACCTTAGGGTATATAAAGATCCTATAAGGCAAGCTATTCAAGGCATATCCCAAGATGTTAGGGATCATTAGCACTACTCTAAGAAAGAAATAATACTTAACATATTTACAAAGATATGATAATAATAATAATAAAGATTTTTCTAACATCAATTGGAAGTATATCACGTCAATTATCAACACTACTTGTGAGAATCCGAACTCTTACAGGTCATGATTTTTAATCTTATCTAAGTATAAAGGCATGCATTATCTAGATCTAAAGACACATTGATTTCTTTATAAGTAAGATTGTTTTCACTAAAAATACTTTTTATACAAAAGAACAAAGTCATAAAAATGTAGTTCAAGGTTATAAATTCAAACTTTTAGACTCCAAACGATTCTCGATAGGGGAAAAAGAACTTTAGATCTCATAAAAAAAGATAAAGATATTAAGAAAGAAAACAAGTCTTCATTACTAAAAAAATAAGAAATCACGAGTTGACCTTACAAGACTAAGGCTAGTGGTAATTAGGTTTATAAAACCTAGTCCATCTCTACCGAGTCAACAATATTTTCCCTCAAAATGTCCACAATACCTTCGAAACCTCATAAAGAGAAGAATGAGTAGAAAGAACATAGTCAACATCATCCGCATGAATTTCTCCCCGAAAAGAATAGAAAGAAGGAACACCGAAACAACTTCAGCCCGAATTGTCATACTCTAAATAAGAGCAAGAATTGAGTTCAACTCCTCGAGCATCACCATGCATCTCGTCGGGAGAAAGAGGCATCGGAGAATGATCACCAAAAACATATCTTTCTTTTCTAATAACAACCACCCCAAAGGAACACTAATTTTTAACATCAACGAATGGCTTACCATCAAAAAATCTAAAGAGGTCAATGTCTATATTCCTAGCTTAAAAAAAAATGGACATCCTCTAAGATCTCTAACATCTGCTTCTGTACAAGTTTAGACAAGTCCAAGAATTTTCATAAATTTCTCACGGAACTCTTAGAATGGTTTCAATTTACCTCAAAGAGGTGGCCCTCTCTTGCACTATAGCTGTAAACTTGGTTCTAATTTCCTTTGGTTTAGAAGTAATGGCCACTTTCAATGTATTTCAACTTTCTCGCCACTACCGAGCACTTAAGAAACAACAAACCCTTCTTGGCACTAGCCTTAGCAAAGGAGTTGTTCACTTTTTTGATCCGCCCTTTATCTCTATATGAAGGGATTACATTTCTTTATCTTTTTCCGAATGGCAACCCTATACTCATAAAACAAATAAGTGGTTGCGAACATCTCTCCGTTCTAGACCTCCTACCCATGAAGTCCATAAGCTTGTGCTTGGAAGGCTTGCGAGCATCACCATATTAACACCATAGGGGTAAAATTCAAAACAAAAGAAAAAGAGAAAATAAGCACGAGTTAAAGTCAATGGCATTGCTCTTCTCATGTTATTGGCCAAAGAAGACTCTCAAAATTCTACATGTCTCTAAAAAGCAAAGAAACCTATCCGAGAAGGTGGGTAACCTCCTCTCCTTTCTTGTCCCACGAACTAGAGTTATCTCTAAAACATCTTAAAGATGAGGTGACACTAGATTGCTGAAAGAAATTTTCAAAGGCGACAAGAATAGTTTGCCTATTTGAATGAAGTTGGCTAACACTCAACACCTGAAATATTAAAAACCTATGTCACAAATCCGGGCAAAGGGAATTTGTAGTTGTAATCAATAATACAAGTCAAAACAATTATCTCTATGTTCCCTTCCTAGCTCCGGTTGTCGGCCTCCTCATCCTATAAATTCTATTAGAGATGATCGTAAAGTATTCTCATCCTAAACAACAACTTTTTTTCCCTAGAAAAATCCACTAGGATTCGCCTCTTAAAAAAAAAAACTTTAAGGCGACAAATCCATGAATTTTTCTCCTTCACTACTAGCAACAGAGCTCCCCCGTGATGTATTAAATTTATGAATTTTTTAAAAACGTCCACCTACTATCGAAGCTTCAAATGGACCAAAATTATGACCATAAGGTGCTTGTTTGGTAATCGGGAATAAAGTGATGGGAATGAGAATGCGGGAATCGAAATGGTATTTGTATTCCAATACTGTGTTTGGAATACTAATAAGGAATCGGAATGCAATTTAAATTTTTTAATATCTGATTTTGTATATAAATATAAATAATGATTAAAAAAATAATTTTATTAAACTATAATAGTTATAAAAATAATAAAGGTGATGGTAGTGATTATGGTGGTTCTAGTAGTGGTGGTGGTGGTGGCGGTGGCGATAATGATTGTAGTAGTGATGATGATTGTGATTGTGATAATGATGATTATGATGGTTGTGATGATGTTAGTAGTGGTAGTGGTTGTGGTGGTGGTGATGTTGGTAGTGGTTGTGATGATGTTAGTAGTGGTGGTGGTGGTAATGGCGGTGGTGGTGGTGATGGTGGTGTTGTGGTTGTGATGAAGATAATGGTGGTGGTAATTGTGATAGTATTGGTGATGAAGGTAGTGGTGGTGGTGGTTGTGGTTGTGGTTGTGATAGTGATGATGGTGGTGGCGATGAAGATAGTGGTGGTGGTGGCGATGGTGGCAAAAGTAGTTAATAGATAATAAATAAATAAAATATATTATTATTTTGAAAAAAAATTCATTCTCATTCCTTGTTTTTTATTCCCACATTTTATGTGGGAATGAAATTGTGTATAAATTTTCATTCTCATTCTCACTCTTCATTCCCATTCTCACTTCATTCTTTTTAACCAAACAGCTACTGATGTGGGAATAAAACTTCCATTCTCATTCTCATCATTCTATTCCCGATTATCAAACAAGCACCTAAAAGATTTTTTTTTTCTTTTTTTAATTAAAGGTTTAGGATAGGCATGGTATTTGTTTTATATTAGTCAACGAGACGATTTTTTATTTTTTTAAAAAAAAATATCGAAGGGATGACTTTGACGTTATACCATTCTTCAAATGCAAGAAGTAATATCATCAATTTAAAAAGGAAATAATAATCAGAAAGACTAAAAAGGGGCTATTCTTGCTTCCCTCCACAACAATTCCATTGAATAGCAGTGGACTCGTCAAGGGGTGCATTTGTCAACTGAATCCTGCACCACCAATAAAGCAAATCCATAAAAACCATTAGCAAGTCTTTTGCCGGATCAAATCAGCATATATATATAATCTACCTCTTCTGCTGCTTTTTCTTCTTTTTCTTCTACTGGGAATGCATGGCAATGAGTGGGAAGCTTATGCAGGCCATTCAGTATGATTCTTATGGCGGAGGACCTGCTGCTTTAAAGGTTTTTTTTTCATAATCAGCTGTCTATATAAGTGTTCTTAGGGATAATTTGTTTTCGCCTTTTGAGTTTCTTTCTTTTTTTTTTCCCCTCCTTATTGCTAAGTTGTTGTGGTTATTGATAAAATGGCTCCTAGGAAAGGAAAAATTAAGTTAGTCCCTATGGTTTTAATGATTTTGTAAGTTAGTCTTTTTGGCTTTGAAAAACATAAGTTAGTTAACTTTTTTTCTCAAAATTTATAAACTACCCTTTTTAAATATATTTTTGATCTTGTTTTTAGTAAGTGAGACTGAAAAATTGATTACAAATGAATGATATTTTAAGCAAAAACAAAAAAAATTTAATTGTTATGAAAAAAACAACAAAAAAATTAAGTTACAATCAAATATAAAAACATAGAGAATCATAGGTATCCAATATTGTTTTTTTTTTTTTAATCAAAGGAATTAACTAATTTTTTCACTTAAAAAACGCAGTGATGGAATGATAATTTACTCTTTTTTCCTATGAAGGTAATTGAAATGATAATTTTACAAAATCTAAATTAACTAGTGTAATTTCAAGGTCGAAATTCAAACTTCTGTTTCGAAGGAATAAGTTACAAACTAATCTTTTTATTTTAGAAAAATAAATAAATAATTTTTTTTTCAAAAACTAATTATTTATTTCTTTAACTAGTAGTGATCATGTTTTAATTTAACATTAATTTAATTCATAAGATTTCATCTTTTCTCATCAATTATTTCATATTTTTTTCTTCTTTTTTTTTTTAACTCATTTGTATTTTTTAAAAATTTAAAAATCAAAATAACTTGAAAGAGAACGAAAATGATGAAGTTACAAAAAAAAAAAAAATTTAAATATAGGGATTAAGTAATTAGTTTTTAAAACAAGTAGGACCTAATCAATTCGTTTCTAGATATTAAAAGGATTAATTTATAAGTTATTCTTATTTCGAAGTTATAAAGGTTTGAGAGTTATGCTCAACTTGAACTGCTGGCTCAACTTTGATTTAAAAAAAAAAAAAAATGTCTGCTGCAGCATGTTGAAGTTCCGGTTCCCAGTCCTAAGAAAGATGAGGTTTTGTTAAAGCTGGAAGCAACTAGTCTAAATCCAATTGATTGGAAAATCAAGAAAGGCGCATTGCGGCCAATTTTTCCCCGCAAATTCCCTCATATACCTGGTAATTTAGTAGCTTGGTTGCCTTTGGCAGATTTCTGTCCTTTTTTAAAAAGATTCTTTATTTTTCTTAGGAGGTGTAATATTCTTGCTTGTTTATTTTCGAATTGTCAGTAGTATCTGGAACCTGTAATTTTTACTCTGAAAGCTGGTTACCTTTTTTCTTTTTGCTGGAACAGGTACTGATGTAGCAGGGGAGGTTGTAGAGGTTGGAACAGAAGTAGAAAACTTCAAACCTGGTGACAGAGTTGTCGCAGAACTTGGCCATCTTGTAAGTTTTTCATATTCCTGCCTTTTATTCACATTTTATTTTTTCCTCTCTGATGAATTTGTGTTCTGAATCCTTAAATTTGCAATCATTAGAAAAGAATGAGATAGTGCAATGTATTGAAACTTAGGATACTGCTTTGAGAACTTCTTATTGCTGCAGTTTGTATTTATAGGATTCTGACTCTTTCATGATCTCTTGTGGTGCCTCACATTCTTTTGCAACTTCTGACACAGCCTTGCAATGCTCCACGTTTCTTTACAACTTCTCACGCTGATTATCTTGTTATAATTGTTTTGCTTAACTAAAAGAGTTCATGATTAGTGAGTCTTTTAGTCTAAGCAAATCACCCAGTAATTTAACTGACAGACTTCTTATGTGAAATCAAATTTCTAGATTTTTTAGCCTATTTCTGAATTTTGAGTTTTAACGGTTTCAATCCTGATAGCTATAATATATGCTCGCAGTATGCCAATTTTAACATACACAGAATTTATTGTGTTGTGCAATGGTAGAACGGAGGTGGACTAGCTGAGTATGCTGTGGCAAAGAAGAACTTGACGGTTGCGAGGCCGGCAGAAGTTTCGGCGGCCGAAGGTGCAGGCTTACTTGTTTCAGGAATCACAGCTCACCAGGCTCTCACACAGCATGGTGGGATCAAGCTTGACGGAAGCGGTCATCAGAAAAACATTCTGATCACTGCTGCCTCAGGTGGTGTAGGTCTTTATGCAGTTCAGCTAGCAAAGCTTGGAAACACACACGTAACAGCCACTTGTGGTGCCCGTAACATCGAGTTAGTCAAGAGCTTAGGAGCCGATGAGGTTCTCGATTACAAGACGCCAGAAGGAGCAGCTCTGAAGAGTCCATCTGGTAAGAGATATGATGTCGTGCTCCATTGCGCAACAGGCATTTCTTGGTCTACTTTCGAACCTAATTTGAGTGAAACTGGGAAGGTTATTGATATCACTCCTGGAACTAGTTCCATGATGACTTTTGCTCTGAAGAAGCTTACCTTCTCAAAGAAACAGTTGGTGCCTATCTTAACCGTCAGTCCCAGCATTGAGAACCTGGATTATCTTGTCAAGCTAGTGAAGGAAGGGAAGCTTCAGACAATTATTGACTCAAAACATCCTTTAAGGAAGGCAGAAGATGCTTGGGAGAAGAGTATCGATGGCCATGCTACAGGGAAGATTATTGTGGAACCTTGAACATATTCACCCTATGTTTATTTTAATTGTTCAATTAGCAAAAACGCAAACTCGTTAGGCAGAAACAAACAAGAATGATCACCTAAAATAATGATATTTTTTTAATTTTATCATAAAATTTCTCATATTAAAATATCTCCGAAACAGCCAGCATTACTAAGGTTTGTTCACTTGCTTATATTCCTTGTTCTGTTAGCCTCTTGTTTCTGTCGCTGTGTCGCATTCGCCCACCCATAGTTTTAAAAACCAACCGTCACATAATGTAACGGCTGCTATGTAATAGAATCGGTGGTAGCCGTTATCTTTTTCAGCATTAAACTGAAATATTGACAATTCAATACGTATAATGACCGTTGTCGGCAATTCGTTATCGTTATTACAACCCGATTGCTATCTAAAACTATTAGCCCACCATTTTGATGGTAAGATTCTAATGCTAGAGCAAAACTACAGGACCGTCTTTGATTCTTTCACAGTGATTCTGAAAGTTGAAGAATCACCTGTTCCATGACCACCAAGGAACACATTTTATGCTTGCTTGCGTTTGGTAGACAAGGCAACCCTTGCACAATACCTTTCCAAAAGATGCGATTTTTCTTAGTTTTGTCTATGCGTTAATATTTTATACAGTAACTTCTTACCATAACATTGGCTCAATTTAGAGCCAATAGTTAATCGTCATTTAATTATTTCATTAATTGGACATGACACAGACAAACAATCTTCATATGGGATAAAATTGAAATTGTATATCAAATCAGAAAGATGTCATCTGACCAACTAGAACGAGAAGTTGCTAAATGCATAGAACAAAGGCATCATCTACTATCATTACTTATTGTACAGAAAAGCCAGCACAAGTTACCCCAACAACAGGTCATATTATACACACTAGTGATAACCTAAGTTATATATGCTTTTTAAGTTCTTAAATGCCATCTACAAAACTATCCTGCTCCTCCCGAAAGAAAACACGCACTACAAATTATCACTTGCGCCGTTCTGTATCCAGAGCAACTTCACGGTCTTAAGGGATCTCCATATGCCAGTAAAAGCTATGAACGCGATTACGAGGATGAAAACACTGATATAAACTGATAATGATTTGTGTCCATGATGTGCAGGAGGTGCAGCTGGAAATGCAGATGATGCTATCTGCCTGCTTTCAGATTCACCTTCCTTTTTCATCCTTAACCTCAAATTTGAAGAAGATTCTTCAGCAATTTCCCTGCTACTGTTGGAACCAGGAAGTGGGCTTTCTTTCTGCAGATCATCAACTGTAGGGGGCTGTTTTTCAGCATATCCAGTGGCCTGCATCAAATGATTATATGAACTCAATAATTGATGCATGCATTTCAACAGAAATTCCACATTGTCATATAGAGATGACACTTACCTCTGTTACCGCTGATTGCACCTCATCTTCATCTTCAAGGTGGGCTGCATCTTTGGCCTTGCAATCCCCAACTGAATCAACCGAAAGTTTCATCTGCAAACGAATTCTTCTTGGGGCACTGCCCTGAGCAACGAAGTTGTCTGAATGTGGTTGGACTTGAGGCTGGCGGGTCCTAATCTTGATTCCAGTTCCACTGACACCATTGCCATAGTCTACAGAAGTTATCTGGCTGGTTGCTTCTTCTATACTATTAAGCACACCAAAAGATGAGATTGCAGAATTGGCTGATGGAGCATCTTGTCCAAGAAAATTATTGCCAAAATGACCAATATTTCCCCTTCCAAGTTCTCCATACGAAACAGATGCAGGTGCTCGCCAAGTTCCAACTGCAGGTTGCATTTGTAATAGCTCATTTCTACCAAATTGATCACTAGGCCACGCTGGGGCTCCCATTTGTGAAGCATGCTGGTGTACATTAAAATTACAACACAATTTTAGAACTTCAGAATTTTTTTTTCAAATAAGTATAAATCAACTATGTCAAATTGCTCAAACAGCCATATAAGCAATATAAAAGATTCAACCTTTAAGAGGTATGACAGCTAAAAGATTCACCAAACATTGTGGTTTAAAGGCTACCAGAAGACCTTAGTACCTGTGCTTGAGCCACCGCATTGTTCATGAAACTGTTTATATCATTGTCCTTAACATCGAAGTTTCCTGGTGGTATCTGATCAGACAACTGAGCCTCACTTCCAGTACCCAAGTTGTTCCGACTGGTTGTTTCTTCACCAGAACACTCGTCATTGTTATTGAAGAAATCATCTAACAATTCTGTGAGGGACACATCCTGTTCACTGGTGCCATCCTGAAAGGGAAATCCATTTTGATTGTTTCCAAAGTCACTGGCGTAAGGTGAATTGATGTAGTATCCTAGGTCTGCTGGAATATGTGATCGCATTGGGGAGAAAACTTTACAATCAAGATCTGCAGACACAGGCTCATGTAAAAGAGAATTTTCATCCAGTGGTGGATATGCCTGGAAAAAAAAATCAAAGAAATCAATTTCCTCATAATGTTTGTCTTGTGTGGAGTACAAGAGGCCAAAAAACAGAATCCAGTTCTCACCTCCACAGCTGTTGCTTCTGGCATTTGATCTTCCACGTCTGAAGTTGCATGACTATTACTGCAGCTATCAACAGGCACCACAATATTAGAAGTCATGTTGTCAGACTCAATCATCCACATCTTTATATCTTCTGATTGCTTTCCTGAATGCATATCAGGTGTCGCTGTTTCTTCAACTAGATCTGATGATGCATCATCAGGAGAGGACTTAGCAGCTGCAGGAGAGTATCCATTCTGTTCTATCTCATCATACTTCACAATGTCAGTCCTCCCTTCTGGCTTTTTGAACAAGCGAAAAAGGACATATGCAGCCTGTCCCAGGTGACGAGAGAAACTCGGTGAGTTGAAGATATCAACAGCATCAATGCAAATCAACAGTATTAATTTTAACAATAGCATCGTTGTATATACAGCACAAAAGGACATTTCATAACTTCAAAAATCAACAGTGAGCAAAAACTCTTATAGATTTCATGTATATCACTAAATAAGTTTAGCTGCCAACATTATGTTCACGTGTTCATCCAAATTAATTAAGATTGAATGCACGTTTCATATGAAAATAAAAAATACAAGCAAGCAATTACACAGCATGTAGACAAAATGTCCCCAATTTCTCCAAAGATCGATAATCAAAACCAAGCATTGCAATCAAGTACAGCAAGTATAAATAAACAAATTAATAACAAGAATGAGGGAAAAAACAAAAAGCAAGCAACCTGGCCAGGGCCGGTGCCATCAAGATCCTTTTCAGTGGGACGATACTCATGCATAATCCAGTTTGTACGCTCTCCCTTTGGAGCACGACCACGGTAGAAAACCAATGTTTTCTTCATACCAATCAAGGTAGTATTACCAGCCGATTTTCGAGACTTTATAGTTCGATCCTTCCCCGTAGCCTTCCAATATCCAGCATCTGTTGCTCTATTCGAACGATGACCATTAGGATACTTCCTATCTCGTGGGCAGAAGAAGAACCACTCAGGATCAGCAGTCTTTATCACAGATAGTCCTACAAACCGACATTCATATTCGCTCAAAATTTAGATAAAAATAGCAGATTAGTGAAACTATAGCACATTAAATTATAGAAAGGCTACTAAAATGCTCTGATTACAAAAAAATAATAATAATCTTTGTACCAAATTCAAGGGAATCTGCATATAACCCTAAAACCCCACATTCCCAATGACTCCAAATTTAAAAATAGCAGAATTATAAACTATAGTACACTAAATTATAGAAATTATACTAAAATACCCTGATTCCAAGAAGATAATAATTTTTCAAGTAAATTTAAGGAATCTTGATGATGAAGGAAATACCCAGATAAGCAAAAAGAGGAATTATTCATAGGGAATAAAGAAATTCTACAACCAATCAAAAAAACCAACAAAGATTCAATTTTTTAAAATCAAAGAAAAAACAAATAAATAAAATAAATAAATAAATAAAGAACAAAGAAAGGATTTTCATTTTTTTACCAGGCAAATCCCAAGGCTCCCATTTACAAACATCAATTTCAGGGATGACTTCAACTTCAGAATCACGACCGTTGATTTTGAGCCTCAAGTAGTGGCTTATCAGTTCTTCATCAGTTGGCCTGAATCTAAACCCTAAAGGTAGGGAGTCCACAGACACCACAGCCACCATGTTGTCTTCTTTTTCCTTGCTTTAACCAAAACCCAACAAAAATATTCTATCAAGTTTGAATCTTTGTATCAGCTGTAAAAATCTCTCAATCTCCGGGTGCTCTTGCTTGCTCTTTTGTTGTCTGCGATCAGCTAAAATGATCAGTCTGTAACACACGTGTCCTTTTTCTTCTTCTTTATTTAACCTCTTCGGTTTTACTGCTCGCCACTGGCATGAGAACAAGACAGCAGATGTCAAATATCATGTATGAAAAAAGTTATGGGAGTAGATGATAAAAAAGAAATAATATTAATAATAATAATAATGGAAGATTAAATCAGTCCTCCATCTTTTGATATATATTCAAATCAGGTCTTAAATAAAATTTCATTCAATTTGATCTTTTGACTCATATTAGAAAACAATTGAAAAACATTTTAAAGAAATGAAGATATATCTTTCTAGAGTGAAAAAAGCCTAATGCGCGATGATAATACATAAACTTTAAACAAATAGATAAAAATAAATTATTATCAACAACTGTTATGGAGCTAAATTAGATTTGAAATCACTTTGGCAAACAATAAAATTATTGATAAATAATAATACAGATAATAAACATCAACTATATATTTTATGAAGACTAAGAAGAATAGATCTATTTGAACTTCGATCAAAATAAATTAGAATCTCTAATTTGTTTGCAAAATCTACCTATGAAAAAGATGCATCTTGACAAATCTCATGCCTAAGCGAAAACTTAAATAGAACACAAATAGATGATGCATATTTAGAAAATAGATCTAAAAAAGAAACACAAGTCAAATAAAATGACAATAACGCTAAAGAAAAAAAAAGGGAGTAGATTTGTTGTCCGTGGTCATCAATTGTGGATAGGGTTAATAATTGTAGATGTTTTTCAATTTTTTTTTGTCTTTATCCTATTTTTTATTATTTTTTATCTTAAGTTGATCCTTCTATATTTAGTTTATATTTTAATATCGTCTCTCCGTTAATTTTTGAATTAACAATATTAATTTATTTTTTTATGTCTTAATCTTATCCATCTACTCTATTTTTTTTTTTGTCTTAATATTGTTTTTTTTAATCGAATTTAAATAAATACAGTAAAAAACTAAAAAAAAATGCATCTTGATAAATCTCATGCCTTAGCAAAAACTTATATAAAACACAAATAGATGATGCTTATTTAGAAAATAGATCTAAAAAGGAAACACAAGTGAAATAAAATGACAATAAGTATAAGAGAAAAAATGGGAATAGAATTGTTGTCAATGGTCATCAATTATCGTGTTCTTCTATTCTTTTTTGTTTAAATTCATCTCTTTACATTTATTTTCTATTTTAATCTCGTCTTTCTATTAACCTTTAGACTAACGATATTAATTTCTATTTTACTGTATTAATTTCATCTATCTATTTTATTTTTTCATCTTAATTTTTTTTTATTGAATTTAAATAAATAAATTTTAGAAAAAAATAAATAAAGATATATCGGGCCATTCTTTATAAAAAAAAAATTGAAAAAAAAACTACAAAGAAGATAAAGCTAAAAATATTTTTTTATCCAAAATATTATTTACGAGGTTAAATTTATATCCATGGCAGTAAGCAATTTTTAAGTATAAAATAAAATATTTATAATATTTAAAAAAATAAAAAAATAGTTATAATTTTAAACTTTTAAACGGTATTTGTAATTTTATAACACCTCAATGATTCTATTATAATTTATTTATCTTAAACTTACAAAATTTCTTAATTTAACTCAAAAGTAAGAATATATATATTTTGTTATAAATTTTAATCAAATTAAGAAATTCATTTTTTGTTGGATTATAAAGTTATTGGCCTCAAGCGGTAAAACTATAAGATTTCATAAGTTTGGGGATTGATTTGAAATCACAATCACATGGGAGACTATATATATATATATATATATATATATAAAGAACAACATTAGACTAGTAAATGGACGCAATCGGCAAGTGTGGACTATGAACCTTCTGGTCCCCAAATGCTGCGCTGGCTATCGAGTAAAACGCGTGGTCTCAAATTTGTGGTTTTGTTTAGCTAGTGGTCTAGTACAAAATGGTGGGATTAAAGAAACTGTCTTTCCTTTACCTTATTTTGCAAGGAATATTTTTTTTCTCACTTTTTTCTCTTTTCTTTACTTTTTCTTTAGTACCATTAGACTGAATCACGTGCGATTACGTCTCAACTCTGCTTTCTAGTTGCCTTCCTGCCACACCTTCCTTTTTAATTGCAATTTATCAGTATTCTATGATCAATGTTTAGCATTGAGATTCTTCTCATGCTTGTTGTTTATAATCTCGTAATGACATACAAAAATTTATCGGATAATTGAATATATATATCTTTCGTCGAGTTTTGAACAGATTATCCATATTAGATTATTAGATTCATGAAAAGATCTTTTCGACTCCCACTTTTGATTTTGAATCCAAAATAGCAAATGGAAGCTGGAATGAAGCCCACCTAGCCGCCTAACCAGTAGAATAGGAGATACCGATCATGAGAGTGCCTACGAATCAAAGGGCATCTCAACTCTTCACATCACATCATGCAGCTTTCAAAATGTCTTGGAGATTCTTGTTTTTTTTTTTTTTTTTCATTTTTGGTCAAATGAAATAGTCTAATCTGTTTTAAAATAAATTAATTATATTAATGTATTTTAAATGAATTTCTAATTTATCATTTTAGTAAAAATTTTCAGCCGAATCATCGAAAAAGGCTATGTGACTTACGTATGATTTTTTTTTTTTCAAACATACCCCTCAACTGAACATGCTCAAGCCACGTTTTTAAGAGCATTAGAAAAAATTATGCATTAAAAAAAATAATTAAAAAAAATAATCATGTGTAAGTCACATAATTTTTTTTAATTGTTTGAATAGAAAAATTCATCGAAAACAAATAGAAAACTCAATCAAAATATAGAGAGACATAATTGATTCATTTTAAAATATATGTTAATTCCATTATACAAAGATTATACAAAGACAGACGGACCCACTTCTCGTAAAATCAAAAGGTTAAGGTTAACACTCGAGCCCTAATCCAACAAGTTTGTTAGGAGTCAATCTTGTTCGCAAGCTTGAATTACCACTCATGAAAATCCTGTATCACCTAAAGGAGGACTTGAATCAAAGAGGGCCAAAGCAAAATTTTAATCATACAGGCAGTAGGTGATTCACCTTGGAGGGATACTTGATGCAAATGCACAGAACAGTAAGAGAAATTTTTGGAGCCAAGTGAGGCCATCACCCTCTGGCTCTCCAAACTCCAAATGATTTCAATAAAGTTATTCTTATTAGGAGCTCGAGATGGATGCTTCAATCATCTTTTTCAAGCTCAACCTTTTCACTAGACTAGATTTGAGAGGTACATGATATTTATTATGCAAAAGTAATGCATCAAATATCATGCATATGATGTTTTTAACGTCAGGAAATATCAAATTTTGTTTTTCTCTTATGCTCCTGAACTAAAATTTATGAAAAAAGATGGATGAATGTAGTCATGTAGCACATGCCTATACCTACTGCTCAATTAGCCATTGTCTTCACATAAAGTGAGCCAACAAGATACCCCAGACCCCAATAAAGAGCCAACAATCTTTTGAATTGGGAGGACTATATAATTGACCCCACATACCTTTTTCTATGGAGCTGATTCCTTACCACTCACCGGCACACCAGAACTAAAGGAAAAGAGACCCGCATGATAACAGTCTTTGAAAGCAATCATCAAGATTTGAGGAAGCCCAATCATTTTGCACCACTTCAAATCTTGATTGGAGAGAGCCCATTGGGCCAATTACAATGACAAATTTCTCTTTGATCATTCCTCAATATCATTTCTCCACCAGTATAACTATTTTTTTTTTTCCATGCTTTAAATGGGAAATAGAGTTGAATAAATTGTCAATGCATTAGGGAAATGGAAGTTTCCCGAACTTAATGGTGTATTGTCATACATGAGCACACTGAGCAATAATCAAGACACAGCATATATAACGTGAATAATTTGTGTATTAATACCCCTAACAATTGAAGACTTCTCTCGAGAGCTCTATCTTCATTCTATGCATATTTACCTACCTACAAAGCTGGATGGTACCCTTGATTCACATTGACATCTGCCCTTTGCACTGCTCACCTAAAACTCCACTCATGGCAGAATTCCAGGGCTAGCCGAAGCGCAGTTCCAAGTCCCAGCACGACAATGACCCCTGTGTAATGTGTTGTAGTTTCAACATCAACATGCATAATGTTCTTCATTTTGGAATAATATATGGAGAAGTCAGTCATTTGATTAAAACTTATATAGACGTGCTTACCAATTATTATGTTAACAGGTAACGCAGAAACACCAAGGGTGATGGATATCAGCACATCCAACAAGAGACCACCAATAAGGATTGAGAATGCCACCCAAAGTGGACTAAAACAGCCCTGTTTCAAAGATGAATGCAATCAAAGTCATCACATTGAATACAGTATTCCAAAAAAAATACATAACGGCAGTAGATTGACCACAGTAATCCCCTTACCCTATCACGACCTCGGGGTCTAAAGTCTGGATCAATTCTCCAAACCCAGTAGTTTGTCTGCTTCACGAATCACAGAACAAAATTTCAGATTATAAATAAAAAATCAACATTAAGCATTATTTGGTTTACTTGTTTTATCATATAAAGTTCTTATCATCAATCCATAATGCCAAGCCAGCTGTCTACAAATGGTACTTCCCTGCATATTGTAATCCCTTATTCAAGTTTTCAAAGCATATCATTTAGGTATTTTGGAAAAAGAACTCCTGCATTCCCAGCACTATCATTGCAATTTTAGAAGCTGACGTGACAAATTATCTTAGGCAAACCCCAAAAAAAATGTATGAGCTTGCATTCCATTCCAAATCCAGTTTAGACTAGATGAAAATGAACGGCCTATCTCAAGCATACTTTGTAATTTTTTTCACCCAGTAATAGAATACCTACACTTGGCTGGGATTCTGGAGGTGACACATTTACAGCTACTGTCCTGCAATAAAAGGTTTACATCATATAAAGACAATTCAGCAACCTCTCTGTGTCAACGTCACAGCATAAATAGACATGGTGAAGAACTTACTGGCATATCTCGCATTTGTTGGATCCTCTTGTGCTAAACCAAGTATCTATACACGTACGATGGGATTTTGCAAGACCGCCTTTACATTTGCATCCAAGATCTATGAGAACTTCTTCCTTCTCCTGCTGGCAAACTCTGATAAATAACAAAGTAATTTTAGTTATTGCTTCTGTGTAGTTCCATAACGCTCTTCATCCGAGTCCTTTCCTCTCTTCTGGTTCTGGTTTTCTTTTAATCTTTGTAATTGACTACATAATGTATCTAGATCCCTTCTAGAATATGAAACCATGCTGACTATCATTAAAATGACCAAGGAAACTTTTGTTTTACTGAATTACCAACTGCTTTGTCCATCCTTGAAATAAGATATCATGAAAAGCAACAAATGAGTTCCCAATAGGCCAAAAATCATGTATCTAATGTTGTGCAATGCTCGATGAATACCAGGGTAGTATTAGGACTGCCAAAGCATATAAAAGCACATAAGAACTTTGAACTTGAAAGGAGAAAAATCATAACTTTATGACATGAAACAGACTCATCATTGTCATAGTGAGTTAAAGCCATAATCGAATCAAATCACGCAAGATCAAAAATGGGAAAACACAGTTTACACAGTGCGTTCAATTAAAACATCAGATAATTAATAAGTAGTACAATATGAATTACAAGGATTAGTAGCAAACCTGCATTGTTCGTGCGAACTTGAAGTCCTTGACAAGGACCCTTTTTTAGGAGAATCCACACCAGGCAACTCTTCCTTGGTTACAACCACATGAGTCACAGGAGACTCACCATTAGAAACCACAATAGCAACTGGTAGAAAACCAGAATTCCCTGATAAGATCCCATTACCGCCTTCCTGCGGCATCACCTTACTGTTATCCTGCTTCTCCAGGTCAACCTCAGTAAGAGCTAAATCACCTGCTCTGGTGGTGCTACCTCTATCAGAAACATCGTTCTGCATCTGATTCTAGTCAGAAAAACAAAGATTCAACAAAACTTCAGAAACGAAATAAACCCTAGTTACCACTTAACTCTCAAAAAGATAAAGAGTTCATCTTTATTGGCATCACCATTGCACCCCACGTAGAATCAAACAAAAATAATGAATCTTTTCGTGCAAAACAGATCAGATATAAAAAAGACAGGCAACAAAGTAACAACCCCAATTAAGAAATTGTACTAAAAAGCTAAAAACCCAGCTGGGATTACCCCAATAGGAAAAACAGCAAAAGAAAAGGCAAAGCAACTTGAACAGGCAATAGCTTTCCATTTTAGAGAAACAAAAGAAAATAAAAAGAAAACCCTTTACCTGGAAAATGTTTTGCTTGAAGCACAACAACAAAAGTAATCACTTCACTGTTTCACAACAACAAGGAAATGGAAATGGACATGAAGAAGAGAAAACGAGACATGACCACACGGGTGGGTTCAGATTTTTCTTTTTCTTTTACCTATTAATTTCCAATTTTTATAGTGATTAGATAATTTAATAATATAATTAAATTATTTAATCATATAATACGGTAAACTTAATCCCCCTCAGATTCATCAATATTCCACTTTAACCCTATATTTTAAAATTTCTCAATGTATCCTTCTATTTTTCATAAAGTTCTAATTTCATCCCTAACCATTAAATAATCTACTGTTTTTGAATTTGGTTTTTAAGTTTTCTTTTTTCCTTTTTTTTAAGTTTTAATTGCTTTTATGAGACACTACAGTATACATAGGATTTTGCAATGGACAAACCTTTATCGAGGCATGGCGAGTTAAAAAAAATGTTAGGAATTCTTTGATTGGTAAAAATCTTGAATCATCAAACATAGGTCGAGAAAGAGTTAAGAAAAAATAGGTAGAGAGAAAAGTAAGAAAAAATAAAAAAGCGAAAAAAGTTAATTTTTTGTTAATAATTTAGTAATAAAGAGTGAAATTGATTTTTTTTAAAACTATAGGAGTAAATTTATAACATTTTAAACTATTGGATAGAAGGGAAACATTGATAAAACTATAAGGATAAAAATATAATTTACCTTAATATTTAGTTGAGTAGAGTATCTAAATACATTATCCAACTACCCGCCTAAGAATTGCTGAGGTCGCAACTACCGCAGTCAATAAATAATTCTTACGGCAGTAAAACCAAATTCTAGTCCGCCTTCTAGCCTAACCCTGGGTTTCTAAGTTTAACCCCATGCCGGTAATTTCTCATGAATTTCGAATTTTGGTACGGATAAATTGTAATTTAGGTTAATGCAGTTTCCTTCTTCATAAAAACCCTACATTATAGCACCTAACTGTTAAAAAAATAAATAAATTCTTAAAAATTAATCAATATAATTATTTTTATTCAAGAGTTAAAAGTATTTTAGAACCGATTAACACGTCAATCGAAATTAAATTTTATTATCTTATAATCTTAAGAACACGAACTTTATATAATCTAAAATCATGAAATTGATAAATAAGATATAATCCTTCTTTAATTAATTCAAATCTCAAACCAGAATGTAAAAGGTTAAATTCTATAATTCTCATGTCATGATATAGATAGTCTATTTTTGACTAAATTAGAGATCTGAAATTAGTTTTCACTTATTTGATTCAAGTATTTATGAAATTTTAAATATTTTGTAATTCTTATTATTCTTATTAATAAGTTTTGTCAAATAACTGAAAAGAATCGTTAATCTCCTTAAATGGTTTTCTTCATCTATATTTTCAAAACAAAAAATCATTTGCAGTAAATATTTTTATCATAATATATAGCAAATCGACATGCTTGTTTATCAGTTTAAAATGAAATTTCAAAAAACAAAAAAACATATTTATTAGAAAATAATATGAAGTAAACTTGGATATGTAGATCTTGTTGAGCAATTCTAATCACAGGTGTGATTTTATTGTTGTCACGTTTTGATCCTTAGATTCTTAATCTTGTTTAATTTTTATTAATCAGTCTTTTTGTAGACTTTAAAGGCAACATTGACTTAAAAAATTGTGGTGACTTTTCCGTATTGTCTATTCCTAATATTTTTGTTTCTGATAAACTATTTGTAATTATTTTAAAGGTTATATTCTTTTTGGATTTTTCAGGATATTTTAAAGTTAAAAATTCAAATTAATCATTTATTATTTTATCAAACGTATAAAATAAAAATAACAATTTAAAATTTTTTTATATATAATAATTTAAATTTAAATTTATTTACCTAAATGACCATAACGTTTCCATTCGAGCCATTGGATTAATAGCTGTATTCTTTATTCCATCAATCTCTATCATCTTAGCTGAGACAAATCGAAAATGTGGAATATCCACTCCCACTTTTCTTGCCACAACCTGACAGGGACAGTAAACAAACATCTACCGTAATTACCATCATTGTTGCCTCGGAAGTTTTCCCCTCCTGTAATCATTTAAAAACATTAAGTAAAAAAAACAGTAGAACTGGGATAAATGAATAATAAAATACTGTTCATTTATCTCAGTTCACTATTCGTAAGAATAGTAATTTTATAATTTTTTATAATGATATTTTTATAATTTTATAATTTTTTGGATATTTATTTTTAAAGTTTACACTTTTTGGTTTCTCATGTTTTTAAAATATATTTTTCAATCCTCGTATTTTTTAAAATATTTTAACATCTCATATTTTTAACTTAGTCTATTTTTATCTTAATTTTTTTCAAAATATATTTTTTGCTCCTCGTATTCTTAAAAGATGTTTTTAACTTTTTATGTTTTTAAATTTAAAAAAAAACATGTATCGAATTATATTTTTTTATTGATTAAAATTAATCTCTTAAATTTATCATTTATTATAAAAATTCTTATCAAATTAAATTTTTTATTTTTTATGAAATTTTATTTATTAATAAATATGATTTATCTTTCTCTCGTGTATTAATTTTTAATATGTTTTTTTAATAAATAATAGAATTTACATGTTTGTTTACCTTATTCTTTATATAATCAATTTTTTTTTTGAATAAAATTTTAAATTATTTTTATTACATTCTATTAACTTTAATATATTTTTTACAACTTAAGTTTTTTAAAACATATTTTTTAATTTGTATAGAGTATAGTAATGATGTATACAAAAAAATATTGAGAACATTGATTTTATTAAAAATTAATTATGCATTTGCACATATAACACCAGTTATTTCCTATTAATTATTTTTAATATTTTAAAAGAACCATCTAATAATTCAAATACGGGTTTTTATACTTAATCTTATTGATTGTTGTGTGTGTGTGTGTGTGTGTCTATATATCAAATGTACATATTTTAAAAAAGTTTAAGAAGATTTATTAGTTAATTTTTATACAAATTTTTATATTGATTGTTTATATATTTATCTGATGTAGTCTTGTAAAAAAATATATTAAGATATTTTTTTAAAATTTATATTAAATTTTATATTTATATTATTGTAGGTTTTTATTTAAGAACAAATAATAAAAAAAAGAATCATGTTTTTTTTTACAACAAAATCTATGAAAAACATAAAGAAGCACAAATGAAGTATAAAATTTTATTAAAAATCATGAAATTACATAAAAAAAAATTCAACTTTTATTTTTAATTTAATATATATTAGTAGAAAAAACTAAAATAATTGAGATATTTACTATTGTTTTATAATTAGATTCATTATGTTGCTTGATCTTTCGCCTTTACCTTTTTGTTAATTTCTCTTCTATCACTTGATGGATTTGAGAAATTTCATTTTTACCTTTGATTGATTCTCCTTTTAGTTTTCTTTTTGGGCCTTTTTTGTCATTTTCTTTTTATTTTTTCAGACCGAGCATTTAATACTCCTATCTTCTTTCAATACTTTTTTCTTCTTAGCAAAAGGGAAGTCAAAGTCACTTACTATTCAAGAGTGATTATAAATTAGTTCATCTTTCTTCGAGAAACAAATTAATTAGCCCACTTGGTTAAAAAAAACTAATTTTTTCTATCCTTTTTGATATTTTAATGTTTTTATTTTTTTTATGAAATAGAGAGAGAATAAAAAAAAGTAAAAATATGAAAAAAATGACATGTTATAAAATAAAAAAATTATTCATGGTCAACACTGATTAAAAAAATTAAATAATTTATTTTTGAAATCAAAAGAATTAATTAATTCATCTCTCAAAATGAGATGACCCAATTTATAATTTAATTTGCAATTCAAGAATCTCTTTCATCATAGATTAAAAAGTAAAATTTATGAAAACCAATTTTATAGTAGTTTTTATTTTAATTTATTAACTTTAATATATTCCATACAACTTAGATGGTTTTTTAAAAAATGTTTATTTATACTATGATCATAATATATAAATCATTAATTTTGTTGAAAATTAATAATGTATCTACATACATAGCACCATTAATTCCTTCGGTTCAAAAACTAATTTTTTTTTGTCCTTTTTGCTATTTCAATGTTTTTATTTTTTGTTTTAAGAAATAGAGAAAGAATAAAAAAAAGACATTTTTTAAAATAAAAAAATAAATAATTCGTGGTCAACACCAATTAAAAAAATTAAATATTTTATTTTTGAAACCAAAAGAATTAATTCATTCTCTCTTTTCAAAATGAGAAGAACTAATTTATAATTTATTTGTGATTCAAGAATCTTTTTCATCATAAATTAAGAAGTAAAATTTATGAGAATCAATTATGTAGTAATTTTTATTTCAATTTATGGACTTTAATATATTACGTACAACTTAGGTGATTTTTCTAATTTGTGTATGCTATATACTCTGGATTTATTAAGTATGTGTGTGTATTTCTATATATATATATATATATATATATATTAGTTTTGTTGAAAATTAGTTATGTATCCGCATGCATAACATTAATTATTTGTTATTTATTCTTTTTTTATGTTATAAAATCAATATTTTTAAAATAAAATAATTGAAATATATATCATTAGTTTTGTTATAAATTAATTATATATATGCACATATAACCTCAAATATACTCCGGATCTATAAAGTATGATCATAATATATATATAGTTTTGTTGGAAATTAACTATGTATACATGACACTAATTATTTGTTATTTATTCTTTTTTATATTGTAAAATCAATATTTTAAATAAAATAATTGAAATATATATCATTAGTTTTGTTAGAAATTAATTATGTATCCGCACACATAACACCAATTATTTTTTATCTATTTTTTTTATGTTCTAAAATTAATATTTTTTAAATAAAATAACTAAAATAATGCTTTGAAAGAACCTTTCAATTATTCAAATACAACTTTTTATGCTAATATTATTTATTATTTTGTTAATATATATATATATATATATATATATCAAACGATTCTGCTTAGTAAATAAATTTAATTTAAATTAATTTCGAAAAATAAGATTTTTACCCGCACTACATCATACGAATGGTTGACTTTACGTATATAACGGTTGTCCAACTGCAAGCATAATACAGGTATCCAACTAGTTCAAAACTATATGATATGGTGCTGATTTAATTTAAAAAATAAAATTTTAATTTTAGATGCAAAAATTTGATATGAAAATATTTTATTATTTTGATTTTAAATAATAAAAAATCAATACTATAGAAAGATTGATGAGAAAAAATATATTTTTGAATAAAATAATATTAAATTAAGAGTGATCAGCACTCATTAAGACATTATTTTGAAATAAAATAGATTTATTTATTGAAACTAGAAAGACTAATTTATAATTTACTCTAGATTGGTGCTATGGAACTAGACTATTTGACCCGGTTGGCATTACTGAATTTGATTATTTTATAATTACAAGAGTTGAGCTTGTGGTTAAGAAAATTTAATCTATTTTTTGGATTTTAAATTCAAATTTCGAAATCAGTAATTTAAAAAAATTATTATTTTTTTAACGAGTCAATAATTTTTTTAATGAATCAAATTGACGTAGGATGTATGCTTTTAAAATTACTAGCAATCAACATTTAAAAAAATTTATTAATTTTTTTCTAAATGCAATAAATTGATATAAAAGATATATTTTTTACAAATTTTAAAAAGAAATTTAATTTCAAATGATATACAAAATGATAAAAAATATCCTTACCCTCTGTATAAAATTTTTATTTTTTATTTTTTGCAATAAAAAGAGGTAGATATTTAAAAACTGTTACAAAACAAAGAGGATATGGCCCAGAAAGGCGCACAAAAAAGGTACAGCTAGAAAGGCCTTGCTCAAACTTAAGGCCCAATATTGAAGCAACATTACAATAACTGGGCCGGCCTTCTTTAATTTTGAACGTGGTTTGGATTTCGGACCAGCATTCGAAAGTCAAAACTAATAGTAAATTATTTTTTCTTGAATAAAATTGGATCCTAAATAATTAATTAATGAGAAAATAAATTACTTTCTTATGATTGATCTTATCGTGGAAAATAAGTTGGAAATTAATTTTTTTTCTCATGCTTGGCCGTATCATGAGAAATTACTTCTTTGAATTATTAATTTTTTAATGCCATGTTTATTCGTTGGAAAATAATTTTTATTTTATTATGTTTGGTTGTGCGAAAACATTTTTCAATGTTTGGTGTGCAATGAAAAATCAATTAAAAAATTTAATATGTAACATAAAAAATGAAAAGTATTTTCGTAACTCGAATGAGATTTTAAACATGAATAAATTCATAATTAGAATGAAATATAACTTGATTATTATTTATGTTAAAATTAATATTGTGAGTTAAACTTTAGAAACAATAAAAATAAAAGGTGAGAAGCGTAAAATGAATGGACAACAATTTATACTATAAAAAAATTGATGAAAAATAAATTTCAAAATAGTTTAAAATATTAATATGCAAACAAGAATAATATATAGTGTTAACATATATCATATAAAATGAAATTTTTTTTTCAAGTTTAAGAGAAAAAAACACTTTTTCTTCTCAAAACTTTATGTTTTCTTTGTTTATAGACACTCACCGTTAACTTAGTTTTTAATAATTTTATTTTTCTAAAAAGTCGTCAAATACTGAAAAGTGTGGAATTTATTTTCTGATAATTTAATTTCATAACTAGAATGAAATATAACTTGATTGTTATTCATGTTAAAGTTAATATTGTGATTTGATTAAACTTTAGAAACAAATAAAACTAAAAATAAAAATAAAGGTGAGAAGTACTACGGAATGAAAAAGGAATGGAAAAAAATGTTTACTATACAAAAATTGATGAAAAAAAATAGTTAATTTAAAATATTAATATGCAAAAAAGAATAAATGTTAACATATAGCATATAAAATGAAAAAAAAATTCAAGTTTAAGAGAGTAAAACACCTTTTCTTTCAAAACTTTATGTTTAATTTCTTTGTTTATAAACACTTACCGTTAACTTATTTTTTAATAATTTATTTTCTAAAAAGTAGTCAAATGCTGAAAAGTGTAGAATTTATTTCTTAATAATTTATTTTCATAACTAGAATCAAATATAGCTTGATTATTATTTATATTAAAATTAATATTGTGAGTTAAACTTTAGAAACAAATAAAAATAAAGGTGAGAAGCAGTATAATGATAAAGGAATTAATGGACAAAAATTGATGAAAAAATTTTAAATAGTTTAAAATAGCAATATGCATACAAGAATAATAATGTTAACATATATCATATAAAATTGGTTTTTTTTTTTTAAGAGAGGAAAAAACCTTCTTCTTCTTTTTTTTTTTTTTTCAAAACTCTATATTTTCTTTGTCCATAAATACTTATTTTGTAATTAAGAAGTCGTAAAATACTGAAAAGTGTAGAATTTCTTAGCAAAAAAATCGAAGCAAAAACAACAATAATTATTTAGTTTGGTTTCTACTAATATGCAACAACATAAAAACATAGGGACACATATGGTACTATATAGAGCCTTATCATTCACAAAAGAGAAAAAATGTAGAAGATGAACTCATTCCCACGTATTCCCTTCTCTTTTCCATCTTTAATAAATCAAATCCTTATATTGTCATCTAAGTTATTCCCTCCCTTTAATTTATTCCTACACACGATTGGCACCCCACATTTCCTCTTAAATTCAATGGAACCCCTCTAGCTCCAACTCCAAATTCCACAACTTCAATTTTCTTCTTGCACTGTCCTAGCTACATTCCTAGCCCCAACTTTGCCAGCCTGAAAATCATGGCTCCTGAACCAAAGGCAACCCATGAGGGAGACAAGAATAAACCTCTCGACCGCGAACTGAAAGACATGTTGAATACGATGACCAACCGCATTGCCGATCTTCACAAGCCAAGTGCAAGTCTTCACAACCAGGAAAGCGCGGTCGATGAGGATGATCATGGCATCAGAATCGTTACTCTTGCTGGAAACAACACAGGAGCTACAATGCGAACCGAGTTGGGTGATCAGAAATCCAATAAGTTGCCTGACGGGGTGTCATTTGGTGAGCCTGAGGCATTAGGTACTTACGTTAATAGCAACTTTCAAGCTGTTAACAATTCTATGATGTTTGGTAGCAACTACAGCACTAATGATCCTGGTGTTCATATGGACATTTCGGATGCTTACGAAAACGCTGGAGTTAAGCCTGATAAGCATGGAAGGAAGGGAAAGAAGAAAGACAAGGAAGCTTTCAGAAGTGACCAGCATTCTGAGCGGTCAAATTGAGGTCACTAAAGAAGAAAAGTTGAAGGAGGAGCTGCAAAAAGAACGAAGCTGTGCTTTAGTAATGCTCTATAGACTATATTCCAAAGGTTTAAGTTTGCTTGTTAAAGATGACTACAGGTTTGTTTTTAGGATGATCAGAGAATAAAGTTCGAAGAATCTTGTATTGTGTGAGAATACATATTGATTGATGGTGTGTCTGTATTGTCTTAGCTATTAAATGTTGAGCATAATATGATCAAATATTTCTTCTACAGACCGTGCAAGTCATTGGCATTGATGTTAAGCTGTAATTTATGGTACCTGATCGTCTCGAAAGGCTGAAAAAATACGAACTATTTCCTTTTTTCTCTTCGCAAAATCCAAGTCTTTAACTAGAAAACAACTTCTTGATATCCATTACATCAAAAATTATTCTTTGCTTAACAATTTTCTACGATGAAATCTTGTTGTTTGCAGTCCATTGGTGAGGTGATCGATGACTTTATATCGTTTTAAATGTGGTTAATTCAGCATTTGATTGTGTCTCTATGGTCCAAAAATGGTCGGTCATTACTCATGATGATTAAACTCAGATCCCTAGCCCAAAAGAGGCACTCCACTCCAGGAATTCCATCGATCAAGTAACATTCTGACTACCTGTACAACATTCATCTCCAACGAACTTGGGGTGTTAGAATGGTTTTGTGTTAACATGTTGTACAGGCCTGTCATCACCCTATTTTTATCCTTAAAAAAAATAGAAAAAAGAAAAAGAGAAGAATTGGGCCTAGATCATAATTAAAAAAGAAAAAAAGGAGGGATGGGCCTAGATCAAGCATTGGGTTAGGTGCAATTATTAATAAAAGGGAAAAAAAATCTTAGATTAATCTTAGAAGCACCCCTGTAAACACTATACATGCACATAGACAAAAGGTATAGAGATAACCACGCAGGAGAGAAAAAATTAAAAATCTAACGGTCAAAAGGAAAAAACCCAAAAAGACTGACATGCATCCAAAAAGCCAATGACAACAGTCCGAAGTTTACAACATCGCCACTCCTCATCCAGTCGATGAAATCAGACACACACCATACTATCGTGATCAAAAGGAAGAGACAAAGCCAGTTCCATTGATCCGCCACCCATTTGATGTCTAATGCTCCCTTTTGTGCGCGAGTAGCTCAGACAACACCTTAAGCACGCGCCACACGTGCCAAGTCTGTCTCCTTCTCCTTGTTTTTAATTTAGTCCTGAACTTATGATTTTGCAATTATACCCCTAGACTTGAACATTTTTTTGTTTGCTTTTCATCCAAATTTTTATGGATTATATGATCATATTATTGATTTATATTCTACAATATTAATTATGTGATTAACATAGGATTGAGATAATTAATTGAATTAAAATTGTTTAATTTGGGCTTAATTGAAAAAAGTTTAAATTGAAAATTCTTGGTATTATTTGACAGATTTAAAAGAATTACAATTTAAATTAGTTGATGTGTATACATATGATAAAAGGGTGATTTTTATTGGGTAGAGAATATTTAATATTTTTAGGGTTTGTTTTATTTTTATATATTATTATTAGTATTTTCAAAAAAAAATAGGGTTAACGGTAATGACTTGATTACACATTATTTTTATTTCTATAAAATTCTTTGAGAAACTATCGGTCAATGATGAAACTAGAAATAGGCAAGCAATTTTTTTGTTTTTAGAAAATTAAAATAAGCTAAATCTGAATTTATAGGTTAGGGACCTTGTGGAGGCCTATTGACTATTTTATTTTTTGGTCAAATCATTTTTATGTGATCTATGATTTTTTTTTTTTTTACATGTTTTTATGTCTTGCACTTTTTGTATTTATTTTACATTAGATATTAGTCTAGGTCGGTCTAGATGAAGCGGGTTTAAGACTTGAGACCGACTTTGTTCTAATGACGGGCCTTTTTATTATTTATTATTTATTTTTATTTTTATTAGTATAGTTAATTTTAATTATTTTTATAGTGTTATTAATTTTTTTCTTGTAGATTTAGCTTCGAATTTGGGTTTTTGAACCTAATTTTAATATTTTAAAATGACATGGTAAGGTGATATGGACTAGAGGCCCATGTCTCTTTTTTTAAAAAAAAGTTATTACGAACTTGTAATTTTATTTTGTTTTAATTTTTTATGGTTTGGCAGGTGAATTTAGGCTTGGGCCCATGTTTATTTTATTTTTATTTTTGCGTTTACGTGGGACTAGGATTAAATGTGCAATAAACTTTTAATCCTAATTTTTACCTTCTTAAATGGGCTTCAACGACCTAATAACAAATTAGGTAATAGACCGAGTTTTCTTTCGGTCTCCAAATCACTTCCATTAGGACTTGATTAGAAAATACCCAAATAATCAAACATGTAAATTAAGATAGCAAAGGTAATTTGCATGAATGAATTCTCCTACGCTAGAAATATAATGTAACCTCACGTCGAGGGCACACTAGGATGATTGTTGTCTTCTCCAGTTGTATAATCGGCCATTTTACTTAGAACTCGTAAGACTAGTGCCATGTTTTTCTTAGTTTTCACCTTTTAAAAACCGAGTGGCGACTCTATACATATACATTTTTCATTTTACGATCATCGAGAGGTCACCGTGTGATAAAATGACAACTCTATTAGGGATATTAGGGATTAAGCCTACAATGTTTTTTTTTTTTTTTGGATTATATTTATTTTATGTGTTCTATCTTGCTATGCTTCGTGCTTTTAACTTTAATGTTTGACTTGTAAAGTGTGGCTTTTTTGCACATAATAGCTCATACACAAGAATAATTTTTTAGCATACAAATACTTTAGTCCCTTAACTTAAGATTAGAAGGAGGGAAGTGGCACTCGAGGACTATGGTCTCGGAGCTCATGCAACTCACATTTTCACTCATATGGAAAATTTATTTTTATGCATGAAACTATGAAGGACAATCCGATAACACTCACGCATGAGAATATAGCTTCAAGTATCTCTTACTATGGTTGAACTTGAGCCCATGATAGCGACCTTTGAAGAAGTTAGGCTAGCCAACCTTATCCAATCATGTCTAGATAAATCTAGAACCTATCCCTAAGCTACCCTCAAGATAAAGGAGAATACATGATTCATAACATGTCTTACTTTACAAGCACCATAGCTATCATGACTATCATTAATAGTGAGTGTTTATGCACTCTTGGATCAAAATACATCCCCCTATTGGCATAGTTTGGAATGGAAATAACAACAATAGTAGGCACCATTTTGATGTCCAACCCATTGTTGGTTTTAAAATCGGATTGATAGCCATGGTGCTCCTTTAAGTCAAAACACACTTTATAATCACGCCCAACCATGAGTTCTCATATAGAAGCATTGCATCTTCTTAAGTCTTATATTTTACACATTCATCTCATGAGAAACATGGGTTGCACCTGTAAAAACTTAACCTTTATCAAAGATCTACAATACTAAACTCGGAAAGAAGATGAAAAACGAGAAAAGAAACCGGATGAAATAATATCATGTTAAGGAAGTTGATACCCTTAAGGGAAAGATTGCCAGATTAACTAGTTTGTTAGTACAAATTTTTTGAACAAGACTAGCGAGATAAGGGGACAACTAAAAAAGTTAACTTGGTCACCACCCTTACTATTGAAGCTTTTATCATATGTCCCGATAAAGCTACACTTTAATCACTATATATTATTAGTCTTTCTCTAGTTATGGCTTCCTTTTAAAAGACATCCCTCAACCTACCATAATCGAATAAAAGAAACAAGTCAATACACAAAAGGCATCATATTCCAATACCCCATACCCATTTTTGTTACTTCTAAATGACCTACTTAGTAAATCAAATTCAACTATCGATACCTCTATTAGAGAGTTGATCAAAGAAAAAGTTATTGAGGATAATAAAGTTGATAAACTTCAATCTATCGAGGAGCACCTAAGAGCTATTAAGGGTATGAACCTCTATAACCTAGTCAAGGCCATCGAGATGTGTTTAGTACCGGATGCCATCATCCTAAAGAAGTTTTAGGGTACCAAAATTCATAAAGTATACGAGTACCTAATGCTCGAAGACTTAACTTTGAGTCTATTATAGTAAATTGGCGAGAGATTATGTACGATAAGAAGTTTTTAATTCACTTCTTTCACGAGAGTTTGGATGGTGCTCGCTTTTAACCGGTACATGCGTCTTGATATAACCGAAATATGAAGGTCGAAAGATCCAATGGATGTTATTTTTTGCCAATAAAAGTTCAATCTAGAGGTGGATGCGGATAGAACTACATTGTAAAATACGGTGAAAGAGTCCGTTAAAGAGTATGTTCAAATATAGCATAAAGTGGCTATTTAAGTTCATCCTCTCCCGACTAAAAAAGAGTTGATCTCTATGTTCATCAACACCTTTAAGGCTCTCTATTTTAAGTATCTTATCATAAATTCATCACCTAACTTTGTTGATGCAGTGATTATTACTAAAAGGGTGGAAACAACTATTAAGGCAAGAAATATTTCAAAATCTAATCTAAAAAAGAATAATTTTAGCAATAGGAAAGATAATGATGTTCATCAACTAGAGTCCATCAATTTTCAACCAAGAGGCGATGGAACAATCAATGGTGCCTAAACCATCACTCTTTCTAGATAAGAATTATAAGCAATGAAGCATCGCCTTTATATGCACCTCCTATGAACACCGCTCATTGTGACATAAGCTATGAACACTACTCATTGTGACATAAGCAACATATTCACATCACCTTTAAACTATCAAAAATCTTTCAATTATCAACCGAAGCCTTCACTTAAAATCAATCTAAAGCACAAGGTACCAAGATATATTGTCTTCTCTTCACATGTCTCTAGATAAGTTATTCATGTTAATGTATACTTTTGGAGCCAATCGTAGTTTGATGGTATTAGCATAAATTTATCATGTTATTATATATATATATATAAGACATTTTATTTATTATGTTTATTTATT